GGAGGGGACTTTACTGAGGAACAGACCCCTCCAGACCGTCGATACTCGCCTAGAGGACAGTTCCCCCTTCCTCAGAGACACCTGTTTGGCACGGTGCGACTCACAAGTCACTTCAGACTGGCTTCAGCGCTTCAGGTCCTTGCATGTCCATGATGTTCACTTCCTCCTTCCCACTAATCTCACCAACTCAGGGCATGTATGTGACCTGTGACCTGCTGTGTGGGGTTTTCCTCCAACAGGCATTTCTGCGATGCCCTCTGTAAATCACACAACTTGGTGCAACTTTGACATCCCCTGGAGTTAGCACAGACCCCAAAGGCTAGGGCTCAGGCCCACAAGACTGAATGAGCTCTGTTTCAGATGATAATTACAGGTCAATTGCAACATGTGTCTCACTTGGGTACAAGTCACAGAGCCCCCAAGACTCCCTTCTTGGGCTGAAATCTTTGGTAGACTAGCTCCCAAAATCCAGGAAAGCATTGTGATTGTTGCTAAAGGCCCCAAGTGAGCAGTCAGGTAAAGAAACACACAGATGAGGTGTAGCTGGGCCCCCAGTACAGAAATTATTGTCCTCATCAAGTTGGTGTCTGCCACCATTCTGGCACATAGGCATGGCCTCCGTCATGGACTGGGAGGTGTCTGAACTACACACTCCAGCATCTGTGTGGAGATTTCATCACATAAGCACGATTAATGCTCACAGCCTCCAGCTGCTTTCCCCTTTCTGGGGCTGGAGCCTGGGTGGGAGAGGCTGGAAGTCATTCAGGTGACCAGCCCTTGTTCGTGAGCCCACCTAGAACCATCTACCATAATGCTCCTGCAATCAGCAAAAGCCGAGAGATTGGAGTCTGTGACTAACACTGAAGACCATGTATGAGGACAAAAGATGTCCCCACTGTCCCTATTGCTCAAAAATTAAGGGTTTTTATTGTGTGCTAAAAGAAAACAAAACAAAACTCCCTAAATATTCATATTTTACTATGAATCATACTGTCGTGGAACGAACTCCTCCTAGACCTGAGCACCCCACTACTGGGTGTAGGTAAAACCAGAAGCCAGATTCAAAATTTGGCTTCAAGGTGTCCTTGGGCAAGTGATAGTGATTTGCTTTCTTGAACCTCACATGCTTCATCTGAAAAATCCTCAGAGGAGAGGGTGCCTGAACTGGCCTTGTCCCATAGTCACACTGATGACTATCTCGAATATCACCATAGAACCTTCAGCCGGCGATGGATGGAGATAGAGACAGAGACCCACATTAGAGCACTGGAATGAGGTCCCAAGGCCCAGATGAAGAGCAGAAGAAGGGAGAACATGAACAAGGAAGTCAGGACAGTGAGGGGTTGGTCCACCCACTGAGACGGTATGACTGATCTAATGGGAGCTCACCAAATCCAGCTGGACTGGGATTGAAAGAGCATGTGATCAAACTGGACTCTCTGAATGTGGCTGACAATGGGGGCTGACTGAGAAGTCATTGATAATGGCATGGGGACTTTTTTCTACTACATGTACTGGCTTTTTGGGACCCTAGTCTATTTGGATGCACACCTTTCTAGGCCTGGATGGAGCAGGGAGGGCCTTGGACTTCCCACAGGGCAGGGTGCCCTGCCCTCTCTTAAGACTGGAGGGGGAGGAGGGAGGGTGAGTGGCAGAGCGGGAGGGGGTGGGAGGAGGGGAGGGAGTGGAAATTTTTGAATGGAAAAATAAAAAAAAAATCCTCACTTGAGCAGGGGATGTGGCTCAGTGGGTAGTGAGCTTGTTTGCAATGTATGAATCTCTGGTCTTGATGACGAGCATGGAGTAAATCTGGTATGGCGGAGCATGCGTGTGATCCTAGAACTCGGGAGGTGGACCCAGCAGGGTTAGAAGCTCAAGGCGCTTGGCTACATACATAAGACTCCATCTCAAAACTGAAGAAATGAAAGAGCCAACAGCAATTACCCTTTTGTAACATAAGGCTAAACGACGATGTGTTAGTGTTGAGGTTGGTGGTGAGTGAATGTGATTTTTTTCTCCTCCTGCTCTTGAAACATAACCGGAGATGGGATGGATTTTCATGTTATTTTGCCCAAGAGCCAAGGAGAAAATTGTCAGACAAACTAGAGTGAGTTTTCACGATTGCTGAGATGGGGACTGGGTCTCTAGATGAGTCTCTGTTCAGCTCCCTCCAGAAGGGCCTGGCCTGTGCCCACAGGCACTGGGGGTCACGGTGTGTAGGCGGAGGGCATTCTTGTAACAGGCACCATGAGTCCCTTCTGGGAGGGAGGGCTGTGCCCTGACCCTGTGAGGGGAGGCATGGCATGCCATCCATGTTTGCTCTGCCAGGGCTTTGGAGGATCTGTGACATTGTTACTTGTAGAGGCGTTGGCCTCAACCTGCTTGTCAACCCCGGGAAGGGTTGGGGCATCATCACCTCAGGCCAGGCAGGTTTCATTAATCACCTTTTTGTTAGTTTTGATCCTTCCCTGACAGAGCCAGGGCTCTTGCTTTGGGCTGAATCACGCCTTTCCAGTGAGAGAGCTGAGCCATCAGTTTGGGATGGGAGGGCTGGGCAGAGTTAGGGGTCAGCCCAAATCCTGGACTCATCATGGTGTTTGAACACCCCAGTACACCCTGGGTCTTGCTCTGGCAGGACCACCAGCCTTCTGGGTAAACACAGGTCCCCTTGCTTACCTTTGAACACAAAGGTGACAAGGTCCCTACTCAGGACTTCTCTAGTCTTGCTGAATCAGCACAGGGAGTTCTGGGACAACCTCACATCTGTGCTACTTCTCCTTGGGGGCCCATGTTGGGGTCCTTCCTTCTCAGCTCTGGAAACTTCTTTTCTATCCCAGGTTCTGAGAGGGTCCCTTGAGACTTTTCCTTCCAGCTGGACCAGCAGGGCCTCCTCTAACAGGGTCTCTACGCAGTCCCTGAGCTTTTCAATCACACTCTACGGTCTTTAAAAAGAGACCCTAACCCTAGTCCCCAAGACATAACCTTCTAGTTGTCTCTCAGTCAGATTTTACAAACTGAAGCAGATATCATGAGGGCCCTGCTCAGAAACTCCAGAACCTTTTCAGCTTTGGAAGGTGTGCTAAGACAATCAGAACAATGGACTATAAACCCCATGTATTAGACTGACCAAGCCCCCCTCCCCTTTTATTTTTACATTGACTCAGTAGACTTTTCTGAGCATTGGCAAGATACTCAGCAGCATGAATAAATGGGGGAGAACCTCTGGACTCATCTCTGCTGACAGAAGTTGGAAGAGTGATTTTATTAGGGGTGTGGGCTGTGAGTAGATACTCAGGAAAGGTACTGTGAGTCTACAGAGTGCTGGAAAGTACTGGAGAGCAGTTGAACGGGAGCATGCATCAGTGACAAGGCAATTAGACACCGGACTTATAAACTTTATTGTATAAAAAAACAGATCTAAAATGAGACCTGGGGGCAGGTAGAACTAGCCTTGGGGTTTAGTTCTGACTCTCCCTTAAGATTCAGTTCTCGGGGAGGGGAGAGAGACGCAGGGAGGGGAGCAGAGAAAAATGTAGAGCTCAATAAAAAAATCAATAAAAAAAGATTTAAAAAAAAGATTCATTTCTCAGCCAGGTGGTGGTGGTGCACACCTTTAATCCCAGCACTTGGGAGGCAGAGGCAGGCGGATCTCTCTGAGTTTGAGGCCAGCCTGGTCTACAAAGCTAGTTCCAGGACAGGCTCCAAAACTACACAGAGAAACCTTGCCTCAAAAAACAAAACAAAACAACAACAAAAAACTCAGTTCTCTGTGTATAAAGTGGGGCATAACATCGAAGCCACCTCCTGGGCTGTTGCTAAGGTGGATGAAACTGACGGCAGGGCTGGTGAGGGGCTCAGCAGAGCAGAGTTTCATGCCTGGGACACATGCAGTAGAAGGAGAGCTGACTCTGGATAGCTGTGCCCCGACTCCACAGCATAAGGCGGCACATGTGTTCTCCCAGGGCACAGAATAAATAAATGAAACTGAAAAATTAAAGAAAATGAGTGTGAAGACTCAGGCTCTAAGCGTATTAGTGGGGTTACTCCCTCCTTCTGCATCTCAGTTCCCTCAATGGTGTTTGCCTTCTGGGGTCCCCTAGGGTCTCTTATTAGTGTTGCTTTTTAGAGCCATTTCTTTAAAAAAAAAGATTTATTTATTTTTATTTCACGGGCACGAGTGTTTGACTGCATGCATTTCATGCATTGTGAATGTTCCTGGTGCTTACAGAACCGAGAAGAGGGAATGAGATCCTCTGGAACTGGAGCTATAGACAGTTGTGAGCTGTCAAGTGGATGCTGGGAACTGAACTCAGGTCTTCTCCCAAAACAGCAAGTATTTTTAGCCCTGGAACCAACTCTCCAGGCCCTGGAACCACATTTTTCCTCAGGCTAAATATGTTTTAGGTGGTTAATTCTTTAATATTAACAAAATTTGTCTTCAGAAGTGTTGGGAGCATTGGCATAGTTGAAGTGCCAAGGGGTTTCCAGAACATTCCAGTCAGACCTTTTAGAGGCAGAAAGAAGGGTAGTGGGGGCTATGGTGATCCCACGCAGCATGGGGCCACTTTGCAGCCTGGCCTTTCCCTGAGGAGGCTCTCTGGCAGACCATTGCAGCTCAGTCCCCAGACTAATACAGGGCAGGGCTGGGATGGAAGTTCATAACTGGAAAGATGAAGTAGAATTTGGTTGTCAAAAGGATAGTCTCAAGCAGAACATTGCTCCCTCTGAGTCAGCCCTTTTGTTAAGGATTAAAAGGAAAAAAAAAGTCACCCCCAATGACACTACCCACCCTAGAGAGTAGAGGTAGCTGGGCTTGTGGGAAATGAGGTGCAGGTGCACTTGGCATCAGGTCAGAGGGTGGGGAAGGGAGGAGAGAAGATGTCCCACCCCCGTGGAAGGTGCATAAAAGGCATGCCCAGCAAGGGAGAGCCACACAGTCCTCCTTGGCCTTGGTCAAGCTCAGCTCCTGTCTGCTCCTGCTCCTACTCTCGTTCCTCACCATGAGCTGTCGCTTTCAGAGTTCCTCCACCAGCTATGGAGGTGGTTTTGGGGCTGGTTCCTGCCAGCTTGGAGGAGGCCGTAAAATCTCTACCTGCTCTTCCCGGTTTGTCTCCGGAGGGTCAGCTGGAGGCTATGGAGGTGGCATGAGCTGTGGCTTTGGTGGCGGGGCTGGTAGTGGTTTTGGAGGTGGCTTTGGAGGTAGCTATGGTGGAGGTTTCGGTGGTGGATTTGGCGGTGGCTTCGGTGACTTTGGAGGTGGCGATGGCGGCCTCCTCTCTGGCAACGAGAAGATCACCATGCAGAACCTCAACGACCGCTTGGCCAACTACCTGGAAAAGGTGCGCGCTCTGGAGGCCGCCAATGCTGATCTGGAGGTGAAGATTCGTGACTGGCATCTGAGGCAGAGCCCAGCTAGCCCAGAGCGGGACTACAGTGCTTACTACAAGACCATTGAAGAGCTCCGGGCTAAGGTGAGGACTCTGATGCTAAGGAGGCTTTCTCAGTATGGGGCAGAGCATCAAGAGCTAGGGCATGTAGTGGCACAGAGGACCAGGTGTGGATGGAATTCGTATTCTTGCAGGGGGACCATTCCACCTTTGTGCTACCAAGACTCTCTACTCCTTAAGCTTTCTTATGCCATGGCCCAAACGCTTTCTCTCCCATACCTCACGTTTATTGATGTCATTATTCTTGCCAACTTTTTTAATGACTTCCTGAACTGTTACTTGTGACTCAGTTGCTATAACCTAACCTACTGAGCTATTTGGAAACATGACATTTTAAAAAAGTCGCTGTGAATGGCAAAACCAAGAGAGAAAAGACATCTTCGTTCACTGTTTATTTTGGAAGAACCACACATGAACGTCTTCTCAGTGGATGATGACTCAGTGGGGTGTAAAGAGGTAGAGGCTCAGGCTGGTACGGAGCCTGGAAGCCCTCAGTGATGCCTGACCGTCACACCGTGACACCAACTTGTTAGAGCAGAAATCTGCTAGCCTGGATCAAGCCCCAGTTACGCAGGACAGGCTTTAATGCTTACACTGCAGATGTTTGGGCAAGAGGCTCAATTGGATGTGTTTCTTCGTTGCTTATCTGGGAGGCCAGCTCCAGGGACGTGACCAGAATAGATCTGGAGTTACACTGAACCCCTTCTGACCTTAAGGGGACATCTCTCGAGACAGTGGCCTAGACAGGCAACAGCTCTAATATCTGACTACGGGAAGATGCCCTGAGCAGGTGTTCCTCTGAAGCGTTCATCATTGGCCTTTCCCACTCTGACCTGATGGGGGACGCTCAAGAGAAAGAAGAGGGTGCTGGCCTTGCCTCTCACCTCACAGAGTTGGTCGTCTTTGCTCAAGCACAGTTGAGGCATTGAGTTTTGCTCTCTAAGCACAGTCCCAGAGAGTTCCCTCTCTCTGTGTTTTGTAGATCCTGGAAGCCACCACCGACAACAACCGGATCATCCTGGAGGTTGACAATGCCAGGCTGGCTGCAGATGACTTCAGGCTCAAGTGAGTCTTTCTTCCTCACGTCTTTCCCAGCAGACTCTTACGTGAGAGGAATGCCCATCTGATGGAGGACACTGGGACATCCGGGAGTGAAGGCCTTGGAGTCGTAGAGGAGCTCAGGGTATGGGGTAGGATGCGTCTAATGCTATTTATAATTCTTAAAAATATTTCAGGTATGAAACTGAGCTGAACTTGCGGCAGGGTGTGGAGGCCGACATCAATGGCCTGCGCAGGGTGTTGGATGACCTCACCCTGTCTAAGACTGACCTGGAGATGCAGATCGAGAGCCTGAATGAGGAGCTGGCCTACATGAAGAAGAACCATGAGGAGGTAAGAGGGGATGGCGTGCCTGCCATGGGTTGAGCCACCTCTGGTGAGCAAGGGGAGCAGGCTGACACTGCCATCCACTGTGAGGTCCTGATGAATCTTCCAGAACATTCTGCTGCCACTCAGAGATAAGGAGAAAAAGGAGTCTCTCACATCTTCCTTTCCTACCCCCACAGGAGATGAAGGAGTTCAGCAACCAGGTTGTAGGCCAGGTCAACGTGGAGATGGATGCCACCCCTGGCATTGATCTGACTCGTGTGCTGGCTGAGATGAGGGAACAGTATGAGGCCCTGGCAGAGAAGAATAGGAGGGATGCCGAGGAATGGTTCCAGAGCAAGGTACTGGTGTTCCTAACCCACTAAGGTGGGTGGTACTGGGGGGGGGCACGGCTTTTGGTCAGGACTTCTTGCTAAGCCCAACCACCCCCTTCTCTCTGCTTGACATTCAGAGTGCAGAGCTGAACAAGGAAGTCTCCTCCAGTGCTGCCATGATCCAGACCAGCAAGACAGAGATCACAGAGCTCAGGCGCACACTCCAGGGCCTGGAGATTGAGCTGCAGTCCCAGCTGAGCATGGTACCCTCGGCTGCCCATGCCCTGTGATCCCCCCACTACTAGGTCTCCCTCTGGACTGGCTCTCCTCATAACTTCTTCCTTTTGGACCATCAGAAAGCCGGCCTGGAAAGCTCCTTGGCAGAGACAGAGTGCCGCTACGCCCTGCAGCTGCAGCAGATCCAGGGACTCATCAGCAGCATCGAGGCCCAGCTGAGCGAGCTCCGCAGCGAGATGGAGTGTCAGAACCAGGAGTACAAGATGCTGCTGGACATCAAGACACGACTGGAGCAGGAGATCGCCACCTACCGCAGCTTGCTCGAGGGCCAGGATGCCAAGTAGGTCCCTGGCACCGACTGTCTTTAGAAAGGGGTCACAGGAACAGAAAGGCTAGCAGAATGGGCAGCGTCTTAGAGATCAGCCTCCTCTTGTTGGAGAGGCAACAGCTTCTGCTTGAGCTTAAATAACCTGGCAAAAGAACTGGAGTCAAAGCCCCCTCCTCATCTCTCGAGTTAGACTGAGGAACTGCTCTGTAGCAGGGTGGCAGGGTTAGTACCTTTGTACATCCCAATGCCAGTCCCTGTTTGTGGATAGACTGGAAGAGGGATGTGGAAGGAGCATTTAATCCAGGACAGCAGTTAGCTGGGATGTGGTTCAGCCAAATGACCACATAGTTCCATGACAGAGTGCCTGCTTGGCTCTATCCCTGCACCAAGGAGAGAGATGACGGTTTAACTGCATTCATACTATTTGTGAAGACTAAGCCATCTTTGTGGGCTTAGGGGGGAAAGGAGCTGAGTGAACCAGACTCCCCGAGTCTTGGGACCAATAGTATGTCTGTTTGAGAGCTTTCAGACAGACAAATTGGCAAGACAGGTAGACAGGTAGGCACACCTGGTAGATACCTCAGGGGAAAGAAAGGCTGGAGACAATGTTGGGAAAGATTCCAAGTCAAGGCTCTGAAAGGTGACAGAATTCCTACATCAGAGGACCAGGAGATGCCTGTCCTCCATTGTCCTCTGCTCATGGCTGTTTCTCCCTTCCCTTCCAGGATGGCTGGCTTCAACAACGCTGGAGGTGAGGAGTCAGCTCTGTGGGAGGGGTTTTGAGATGCTGAGCTTGGGTGGATGTGGGCTGGGAAGGAGGCAGGGCAGGCAGCCAAGTACAGTATGGAGGGAATTGGGTGGAAACGGCTACTCTATTATTGACTTATCGACATAAATGTCTCTGCCTCACAGAGTCACGGGGTTGTGTTGGCGAAAGTCACCTTTGGTAACAGAATCTTCGCCCACATACCTCTTGACTACTTGGGAGTTTGTGAGCCTTCTTGGGGTCTTGGCTCAGCCTGAAGTGGGGGTTCTCCAGCCTGAGCCTCTTGTCCTCTCTCTGTCTCAGGAAATGTCACCACCACTGCCAGTGCCTCCGTCTCCCCCTCCACTTCCGGTCGTGGGGATTTCCGCAAGTATTAACTCAGCTTGGAGTCCTTCCCTGGCCGTCAGGAGGAGAGTTGATGGTGCCTGTACGATGAGAGGACTGCACATGAAGCCAGTCCCATTGTCCCCATGCCTCTGACAACCTCAGAGGGTGGACCCGCCCCCTTCTCTCCTGATTGGTGGCCTTCTCTGCCCTACCCTGCTCTTCCCACTCTTTGGGTTCTCGATGTCTCTACTAAAAAGAACAGATAATTCAATAAAGGTTCCTGATTTCCTGCAAATGTTTTGGTGTCTGGCCTGGTTTCTGAGGGTGATCTCTGCCACCCCTCTGATTTGGGTGATGGGTGAGGTGGGTACAGGTGGGCTGAGCAGACATCTTAGATACTGATGGGATTTTTGGGAAAATGGAGGCTCAAGGCAGGTATCCCAGCCCCAACTGGCTGCCTTCCAGGCTGATAACTCCATTTTGGCCTGAGATATCCTTCTTTTCTGTTTTCCTTGGCACACCCCAAGTTCTTGCGACTCTAAACCACCCAGAGGACTAACCCATGACTCACTCAGCACCTCAGCCTGCCCTGGTCTCTGGTTGCCCAGTCTCTGATTTCCCTGCTCTCTCCTGCTTTTCCGGAGACCTGACCCAAAGTCACAGCCTCCTCTGGCTGTGCTGGTCCTACACAAATTGACTGCACAAATGTTTTCTCTCTGTTCTTTACTCTCCCCTTGGATCCTCCTGGACATGTCTGTGGGCCCAATGACTACATGTTTGATGACCCCCTACATCTGCCTCTCCAACTTCAGATTCACCCGCCCTATGTATAGGGCGTCCCTTCCTAAGTTCTACAGATCTATAGGGCCACCCTCTTTGATTCATTCTTGCTCCACTCTCAAGGACCTGGAGTTCCAAGACAGCATCATCTTGTTCTCTCTCTTCTCATCTTCCATAAGTCCTTCCCATGGACAGTGTTTTAGCTCCTGTATCTTTCCTAGTTCTAGCTCTCAGAACTACTATATGCTACTACAATATTCTCACCGGCCTCCCTGCCTCCGGTTTGACTCTGCCCTTCACTCACACTGGGGTTATGGGTTGAAATTTGAAGTCTTATAACCTAGAGATGCCTCTGGAGATATCCATAGCCGCCAAGGAAAGGTCTCCATTCTTTGTAGGCCCAGGTCAGATGATCTGACCTCTTCTTGCCTCCTTCCAGTCCTGGCTCCTACAAGAGCCTGCCCCGTGAATCTCAAGGTTCTGCTATCCCAAAATGCTCTTGGTGAGGTGGCCATGTGGTTGGGCACCTGGAGAGCCCTTGTTCTATTGGAGACCTCAGTATTCCTCCTCATCCTCTCCAGAGCACATCTTTGTTTTATTTGTGACTATAAGGCTTTTCTTAAAATGCAGATTGAGATGGAAGACCCTTCTCCATCAAGATGGGGTGGCATGCCCCTGTGGGTGGTCCCAGGATTGTACCTACCTGTCCTCACTTTGACAGTATGACCCTAGGGGTAGGGCTGTCTTTTCATCTTGGGGAGGGTTTAGCTAGTGCTTATTGAAAGAAGAGAAGAATGAAGGAACTGTCTCCAATGTGACATTTGAATTTTGTCACAGAATTTTTGCTGGAGGGTTGGAGGGTCTCTGTCACTCTTGCTAACTGTCACCTTTCTCTGGTCTTTCCCTCTCTTTCCTGTCTCTCTTCTCCAGGTTCCCACCCCACCTGGGTTTGACTTAGACTCTTCCCACTTGCAGGCCACATGCAGGTGGCTTAGGCACACAGGGGCCACTCAGGCATGCCTGGGCTAGCTAAAGCAGAGATGATATCTAATCTCCACTCATTCCAGATCCCACTCTGTTCGCCACTATAGAAGGAGGTGGGGCTCAGGTCAGGTTCAGCGTCCAGAGCTCTCTCAGGAGCTAATGCCTCATAGTAAAACAGGCCATGCCTTTTCTCCCAACCCTTTTTGAGTTTGGCTTAATTTGTTTAGGCTGGCACTACCTGTTGAATGCTATTGTTTTCTTGACACTAGATTGATTCTGGAGAAAGAGAAAGAAAAAAAAGATGGCGTTTATCTTGAAACAAGTTCTCAGACAAACAGGAACTAACTATGAGCACTTCCTTTCCTGCTAATTGCTACCTCCCATGTGGGCTATTAAAGTTGAGGACTCAGAACATCTGACACACAGTATGTCAGTGCTCACCAAACAACTCTCCGGTCGTGACCTTTCTGGTTATATGACTCCCTTTGAGGTAGAAATAGTTTCTGGGTCACCCACATCCTCATACCTAGAGTATTTATAGGAGCTGAAAGAATGGACTAGATGAGGACCGAGGGACTATGGGAAATGGAAGAGGTAGTAAGCACACCACACCAAGGGCAAGAAAAAAAATGGGCCTCCCGCCCCAGTTATGATTAGGAGTTCTCAAAGCTGAGTGCTCCTGGCTGGTTCTGGTCCTCAAGGTCAAAGAATCTTTCCTGACTCTCTATTGGCAAGGTCCGTAGAATATTGGGGGGGGGGTCATTCAGTGACAGGAGCTGGACCCCTGAGGCATTTGGAGGTGACTCTATCTGTCCTGGGAGCCTTTCACTCGGACCCCAGGGAGGACTGTGAGGAGCCCCAACTAAAGAGTTCTGTGGCCCCATCAGGTGTCTCGGGGAAGCTGGTTGGGGCGGGTCAGGAGCAGGTGTTTCTGCCAGGCCACCCAGCAGCCTTTCTGAGCTCTCTGGCCTGGGAGGTGGGAGTGGTGGGGCGGGGATCTTGTCTTTCTGCCTAGGCTCCATATATCACCTTAGTCACCTGTGTGGGGTGACACTTGAGGGAGAAAAGGACCTGCTGGGTCAACACCGCCCCTCCTACGGGGTTGTTCTAGGTGCTCAGGCCACACCAGGCTCTGTGACTGCTTCCCAGAGCTGTGGTAGTGAACAAGCAGCCCTGACCCAGTGGCGCCTGACTCCCAGCTATGTCAGACCGTGAATGAGTGTGTGTTAATGCAGGAGACCCTAGGTTACAACCAGGTTGGAAAGGCCAACACCCTGCACACTGAATGCTCTCCCCGGCTCCTCAGCTTGATGCACTTCATCTTCGATCATCCCAAGAACTGTCACTGTCCTGCCCATTTTGCACACAGGAAGACCAATTCAGACCTTCTAAGTGACAAACCTAGTTCAAAGGACGGGATCCACAATTCCAAAGTGCTCCCTGAGACGCTGGTTGGTACTTTGTCAGACGTCATATGTTCGCTTCCAGTAATGTGGGAGAGGAACAAGACTTCAAGGCCCCGGTACTCAGGTGACAGAAGAGTCAACCAGGTACATTCCTGGGATGTCCGGGAGCCTCGGCATTAGGTCAGGAGCCCAGGCAGGGGGTTGGTGGATCAGTGGGAAAGTCGGATATGTGGTAAATGACATTCCATGGTGGTTCAGTGTTGCAATTCTTAAGAAGCTCCTGGCTTCTCACCTTGAGCAAAAGGTTCCTCCCCATCCTCAAGGCTCCTCCCTTTGTTAATGGACCAGTACCTGTCTTCCCGTCCTGTGGGGCTGTCTGTCCTGCCTGGGCCCTGCAGAGGGCAGACTCCTGCCAGAAAGCAGATGGGACCTCTGGTCACCTGTTAGGACCCAAGGTAAAGGGGCGGAGCCTTAGACTTGGTTTCAGTAGGCAGCTCTTTCTATCTGTCCCCAGATTGGGGTACAGCAGCCAGGCACTGGAGAGCAAGTTGCAACTGAGGGCAGAGTTCTTTGTCTGAGACTCCTTTGGTACTTGGGTCATCTTGTTTGGGTGGTGGCTTTGACCACCCAAACATGAGTATGAGACTTCCCTAGCCTTCCTAGAATGGGAATCCCACTGTTCCGCCCTAGGAAAACCCACAATAAGTCTGGGAGGGGATGCCATTGCAAGGGTGTAGCCAATACGGCCTAATGATCCTAATGATATATTGTCTCAGGGTCCCCCAAGTCCCTCCTGGGACCCTTTTTTTCTTCCCACTTTTTGGGTTCATGTATCTCAGGGAGCCTATATATATCCTTTTGGATGGTCGTCTTGGGACCTTAGGGGTAGAGCAGGATACATGATCTATGCTCCTTTGAACAGCTGTTCTGAGGTTCTGGGGAAAATGTCACACTGTGTCCCCTCACGGAGTTTGGGAGAGGGAAGTGGATGGGTGGCTGAGACTCACTGAGGCACCTTTTAGGGGTGAAGTTTTGGTAAAGTTGGCAGGTGTCTGACACTTATTCTCTGTTTAACTTTCATGACTGGTCATAACCGCCATACGACTGCTTTCATCTGAGCCTCTCAGAGAAACTTAAAAGGAAAACCTCTGGTGTGTAGGGCAGTTAATGATAGCCTGGAGGCTCGAGCCTGGTCACAGAGATGCTGCTGTTAGCAGGAGGGATGTTGTTATGTGGACTTCACAGCATCTGTAAATGCTGACGGCCGAGCCAATTCAATGGGGGTGTTTAGGGGGAGGGTTTGCTTTGTGGTTCAGCTAAGTGATACTTGAGTGGAGGGGACGCAGACACTGATGTCCCTGGTTCCAGGATGCCCAACTGTACATCTCTCATAAACGCAGGTTCTCTAAACACACTGGGGAAAAGGTCGTACTGTGGAATTCTCAGACCATAAAAGCGGAGGGAGGGAAGTCAGGACTTAGCGCCTCTGAGCAGAAGGCCATGTTCTCCAGATGGGAGCTGATGGCCAACATGATTGTGCAGGAAGAGCTGGCCCTCGGGGAGAGGGCTCTGGGCCCTGAAACATGAAGGCAGGACTTGGCCTGGAGGACTGGAGAGGTACGGATTTCTGCTGGGCCCAGTGGCTTCCTGGGTACTCACTATGGGAAGACACTTGGCTCATTCTGAGCAGGCTTTCAAAGCTTGGGTTAATAACCAAAGTCACTCCTGGGGGAGAGACTTTTCTTCTTTTGTACTTTTGGGGAATTAATATTCTGGGGACGTTCTGGGCATGGTAAAGAGGGAATTTCAAGACCTAGCGAAGGTAAGCTAGACCCAGGGGGAGTTTTAAAACCGTATTAGGGTCTTAGAGAGTTGAGGCCCTGGAGTTTTGAATAGGGAGCCACTGTTTAAGGTCAATGCCATTCTTCATCAGCTCCCCTGAATATCCTCACTGAAGGGCAGCCAGGGAGTGGGTGAAGGACCTCCTTGATCACTTAGCT